AACTATTGCAAACTAAGTTGCCTCTGCTACTACTATATAGTAGAACTTTTTTTTCCATGAGAATAGACACCTCAGTAATCCTTACTAACCTTTTATTTTCATCACTACTTATTTCACTTTGAAAATTTAGTGAGCCTGCAAATCAGATATAGGGAAAAACTTTGCTATGTATGGCTGTACCAAGTGTTAGCCATTATTTGGTTATCAGCTATATCATCATTTGGAAATGAGACTTGAACACACTACATCACTCTCTAATTTTTGGGACATCATTCCTATTTACAAACACAGAAAGAAAAGGGTAGGACTTGCCAACGGTTGCCAGTCTGCAAATTAAAAAACCCAGCTGCAATCCAGTTAACGACTTTGTAAGGGTAACTGGAAATCGTAACGCTACTTACTCACTGAAACAATGGAAAACCGCAGAAAGGGAAGCAGTGGTAATTTGGATCACACCTTCAATGTTTCTCCTTCCAAGACTAGTCTACAGAAGGTCAGAATCTGCAACATTAGTTTATGTTATCTCCATGGGGGATTAAAACCTATTTAATTTTTGGTGGGGTGACAGTGGTAATTGGAAAAGGATTCAAAAAAGATCAGCTATGTAGAGGAAAAGAAGAATTGTCTTAGCCTAAGATTGAGAAATCTTAATACAAGAAATGTAATCTTCCCTGCTTGTAGGGCTGTCATGAGTTAAAATCCACCTAGTCTTAAAACTACCATAGTTATTTCTGACAGACAAGTAAAAGATCAAACAGAAGTGGAAAAACAAGCTTTCTTTACATTCACAATGAGAATATGTGTAGAGACACCACTGGGTACGCATGTGTGTGGGTGTAGAGACACACATACATGCATACACATGCAAACACACCACAGTTGCTTTCGTATCCACTACTCATGATTTCACATGTTTTTTTTTTCAAAATTAAATATAATACACACAAAAAAACTAGTTTCTCTGAGAATTTTAGTTCTGTAAACCATGAACAACTTGAAGACAGGATGCTAAAACGGTATGGGGTTTTGGTAAATTCTTTCAGGTGTATATTCATCAGTAGAGTAATCCACATTTTTCTTATTTGGCTATTTCAATGCATGGGAGCACAACTCGTAAACATGATTTTTGCTAGTCTTTCACATGAATATATTTAACAGAGCTGCGTTTTTATTGTGGCTAGTCCATTTCCCTACTTTTTTCTCCACTAGGTGGCACAATTTATATTATTTTCTTAGACAAAGTCTTTTACTGACCAAAATAAGGTCTATATTGAAATAAAACTTTCCTAATAAAAAGAGTAAATAGCACATCGATTGAAAACCAGAAGTCTCTTACCACCCCCATAAATGAAAAATAGAACATATTTAATTAAACTCATACACACCTTGTGCCTATGTTTGAATTCTCCCTTTAAATATTGTCCCCATTTCAATTACTTCATTTATTGACTCTTAATGAGAACTTGTTATTTGTTAAACCAGGACTTCCATTGCCTTGCTATAAAATGTCTTTAAAGTAAGTGAATCAGGCTAGGCTACCATTTCCTCTACAGCTCCTGAAGAAACAAGCCAAGACAACAGGTAACCCAAAATGCAAAATCATACTGCTGAAGAGCAGAACTTTCCTATAATGTGCTTGAGATGGTTGGGTGCTAAGTAACTCTGAGTGAAGCCAGGCTACTTGTATTACAACAGGCTATCTTAAAAGAGAAACAGGCTGAGAACTATCTTGAGACAACCTCAGGAGTTTAGAAATAGAATAGGATGTGATGACGTTGCTGATGCAGAAAGCAGATAGAGCTTTACCGGAGACAGTACTAATGTTCATAAGAAAAGGAAGGAAACCAGGCAGTTCAGTTTCTGAAAGCCTCAACCAGTCAAAATTCCAGACGTGAGAAACTGGATGGTAACCCCACGGGTTTGGTGCCATTAGGTTTGTAACATAACCTGTAGCTGAAGTCATGGGAAATACCATAAATGCTACACCAAGAACTCTTTTTCCTCTAGCTTTTTGAAATAAACTCATTCTTGGGTGCTCTGTATGAGGATTATAAAGTTTTCTTACATTACTATAAGGTTCTGCAGAAAATATACCTTAATGTATTGGCCCACAAAAAGGTTGTTAGAGGACTTGCTGTCTTTTCAAACACTGAGACTGAGAAGCATCTTACAATTCATCTATTCATTCATGTTTAATTCATACTCAGAAGATTTCTGTCATTATGCAACTTCAACCAAACCCATAGACCCCACCGTGATCACAGACTTACTCTTGTCAGTAGTTCATCCATTTCTGACACCAGGGTATCCAGATTTTCTTGTGCTAGCTGAAGAAGTCTCTCTGGTGCTCGCTGAGGTGAAAGCAAATGCTGTTGGGGAGGATGAGATGGAGAATGAAAATCTGTATTTAGTGGATCTCAGTGCTTCCAAATATTGTAGAAGAGAAGAATCAAAAATTTCATTTTCAATACAGTATATAACCCCTTTTGTCACTGACTCTTGTGTCACACCCATCCAATACACTTTTCTCAGGAGTCTTGACAGCTCTACATAGTTTAGTGGAGAACTTGTAAGTATGGTAGGGAACGTAACTGCTCTGTGGACCATCTGGATGAACACCATTTTAGTTGCAGGCAAAATGACTTCTTCTGTGCCTGCAGCATAGTTCCTTGCATATACGTACACTTAATAAAATAAGTCAAAATAAATAACTGTAATAATTATGTATCAACCAAAGCAAGTTTGAAGTAATTAAATCTTGAATCTTTCCTCTTCCTACTCACTGCTGTACGTTTGAACTGATTCAAGTACAGTTGTGCTGAATCTGTTATTTAAGTATGTGAATACTGTGAACATACCTTTAATTCCTGTGTCATGTTCTCAAAACCATGCAACATTTTATACGGAGCAGGCAGTGGACCACTAAGGTTAACACTCAGCAGCATCTGGTTTAGCCGATCCAGGTCAGTGAGGAGGAGTCCTGTGCATTCATCATCACAAGCTGTGGGGAAGAACAGCAAAGCTTATTTATTCTTGTTAAATGTTTAAGACACATGTTTGAGTTAAAATTTTATGGCACATATACAATTCTGTGAGAGGTAACACTAATTTCAGATAATTTACCCCAAAAGCATACTGTGAGGAAAAAATAGAAACAACAACTAAGGAACAGGAAAGATCTTATTGCTTAGGACTTGATAATGGGTCAATTTAATATGAGACTTGAAGAGAAAAATTGGTAGCGTTGTCCATATATTGGACTAGACAACATAAAAGTTTAAATCAGGTGAGCAATTTGGATGAAGTTTAAGAAAAACAGACAGGTAATTTGGAAATTCTGAGGAGCACTTTAAGAAGTAGCACAGTTGTCGATTTGAACATTAAAAAAACCATGAAGAAAACTTACAATTTACATACCTTAAAGTCATATGACAGCATGGTCAAACAGGCTAAACTTGTAATGCACACAGTATAAAGTGTCCAGGTAAAAACACTGACAGTTTTCTTTTAAGAAGTGTTTTTCCCTACCTCCTTTCACTAACCTTTTTCTAATTTTTTCATGTATGTTTCCTTTCTTACAAATCCTCTTTGGCATGAAAAATACTGCTGTGTGCTGCATATGCTGAAAGGAGTTTGCATTTCCCCCCTCCTTGCTTTCTATTAACCATCGCAATAAATTCTCATAACCTTAAAGTCTTGTATCATTTATGCTGCAGACTGAAAAATTCTTCATCCTTTACAACAGAGTTGTGGGAATGCCTTTCTGTTTCCCTGCATAAAGATGCTATACAGGACTGGCAAACCTAAACAACATCTCAGGAGATGGAGCAAACTGTGAAACAATGAATTCACTGGTGAATTCAGAGACATGGAGTGTTGTATCTAAAGTTTTATAAGTATGTAGTTATTTCAGCAATACTCCTAGGTAGCTCAGTGGGTTAAAAGGAATCACTAAACAATATGTATGTTTCTGTAGAAAAAGAAAAGTAATTTTCAGAGATTTTTTTTTTCCCCTAAAATCTATTCTTCAGGTAGATTAAATCTTTTCAGTTCTTTAAAGTTTTCACAGTTACCTAAATGTTGTTCTTATTCTGTAGGTTGGCTTTTTCAATACAGCAAGGAGTTGAGTCAAATACAGAGAAGACAAGAATAATGAATACTAGTTTAATATACCATGAAACTCATGTGATGATTGAAAAGGAGACAAAATAGATGCTGGATTAGTGCAGTAAGAAGTGGGTGGAGAAAACTAGATGCTGTTATTTTAAGATTTCTTTTTGCATTTTCATTGCTTCCATTTGCAGACTTCTTCCTCCTATTTCACACTATTATGTTACATAAGCTGTTCTGCACTGGGACTTCTCTGTCATTCTTAATTGTGGGCATGATACATTCTGATGTATGCTTCTATGTGAAATTAAAAACAAACAAAAAAAGCATATTATTATCCCAACTCTTGTCATCTGTGTGCTTCCTTTTAGAAACCTAAGAGAATTACAGGAAAAGCAAATATTACGGCCAACTGAATGTTTTACATGACAAACACCTGTTCTGTATGTAGCTGCTCAAGAAGGTAAGGAGACCTGACAGTAATTTTGCAGGAGGCTATTAAGTGATCATAGAACCATAGAATCTTTTAGGCCAGAAAAGACATTTAAGATCATCAAGTCCAACCATTAGATCTCAGACCTCAAAAGGTTTGGGGTTTGTTGTATATATATATTAAAAAAAAAAAAAAAATTCAAACATTATTTTACTTATGAAACAAGCATCAAATCCATTCACCCTCAAAACTGTAAGAGCTGTTAGTAATAGAATTCTAAAAATTTCCTACGTGTTAAAGACAAACTCAATTCACATCAATAAGAAAAAAAATGAACAGCTTATGAAGACATGAAGTATTCTCAGTGAGTAAACAATTGCTAAGTGAGCATTCAGTATAAATTACCACCTCTGGCATGATAATCAGTTTGAAAAGAGGAACTACATCAAGTGAGGACCACAGCTGGCTACATGAGACAGGACTAAGCTACTCCAATACGCAGACTGAGATGTACTGTAGCTATGGGAAATATTTCAAGAGCATGATTATATTTTATAAGACTAAACACTTCCATGTCTGTCTATAAAACTGTCATGATAAATCTGTGTCTAATATTAACAAATGCAGCACTAAATTCAGATCATTACAGCAGCGCAAGCATGTAAGAGGCAAATCATGCAGTCGATATTACAATAGTCCAGCAAGCAATTAAAGCAAATTACTGCATTTTCCATTTTCACCACGCTTTCCCATGCACAGTAAGTCCTGGAAGGGTTTTCACTTACCTCTTGTGAGAAGTATCTCCAAAGCATGCATGCCAATGAAATGTTTTTTTAAAAAGTAATTGCTCAAGCAATGGAAGATTCTGTAAGTTTATAGACATCTAACCACTTATTTCATCTTACGAAGAGAAGATAATCTACAATAAAGGCATCATATCTCTGAGCCACAATGTGTTCCTCCAACTGAGTGATTATCTAACACAGTCTTGCTTTAATACATTCATTGCTGTTAAGATTCAGAAGTTTTATGACTAAGTAATTTTTGGCCTGAGTGTAACCATGCAATCTCTGATATGAGGTGATACCCTATCACAGTCGGTGGCTTTTCAGTATTAGTTTCCTTTTGCTTCACAATAAAGCACTGAACTATTGTTAGGCTCATTAAACTGTTGGTTGTTACCCCGTTTTTCCCATTTTGGCACTGGTCTCACACCAAATAATAAACAAGCTCTCCTCTGTCCCCCAGAACAGAACCCCCATAGAGAACTGAAAGCTTTAGCTTCCTTGTCATTGTTGCTGGTTTCAGCGAGTTTGCACAATTAATATGTCTCCAAAATCTGGGAAAATTCAGATCTAGATTAGGGTCTAAAGTATCATCTCTGGTGTATTGCTGATTTTCATTACATGCAAAGCCTCATTTCCTGGTCCTGATAAATAACAGTAGTAGTTAGGTTTACATAGTGATGGAATTGGGCAAAAGACATTGGAGTGTGAGTCTAAACTCAACAGGAGCTTATGGATCAAAACCCAGGAGAACAACTGTTAGCTTATCAGCTTCTAGGTCAAGCAGGGATGTCTGTCCCATATGGAATTCATGCAGACAGAGAAGCAGTTGTCCAGTACAGAAGTAAGTTTAATTCTTACAGCTGTGCCATAAGGACACACAACTTCAGTTAAACTCAGAACATAACAGAAGCTAGTTCAAAAGGCTTCATAGATCTGGTGTTACACCCAGTATCTTTCTTTTCAGTTCAATCTGTGAAGGCTTGCGATAAGAAGCTTCCAGCTAAACTGAATTAAGGACTGTGTAGGAGCTAGGAGATGCTTCTTTTCACAGATTCTTCAAGATCTGCTTCTGACAGAGACAGTATCTCTGCTTAGTTCTGAATTTGGAAGGGCTGAGGCTCATGGAGCTACTCCTTGTTTTAGAGGGAAAACCTTGATTATGTCAGGACCAGTTGCTAGAAGCATTCTTGTTCTCTGGGTGCAGAACTGAGCGGCAGCTGGGACATACTCCCACTTATTCCAAGCACCAGTCTATTAGAGTACAGTATTTAAGTGCCCAACACCTGGTATTAAAGGAATCTGATTATATAATTTTCTCCTTCTACCAGTATTGAATATTTAAATCCATAAAGATTTAAAGTTCGCTGATGGCAGCATGGCTGAAGGTCCATTTTTTTCCCCAAGGTTGAGTTATAGACAAATTCCTAACATTGAAAAATATTTGATCTCTCTACGTCCTGATTGCTTCCTGTTCCCTGTTAATCTTGTACAGCAAGACCACGTCGACTGCTTTACATGTAGATTTTTGCTTCACCCCAAGGAACATTTGCGACTGGAGCATACATCTGAGAAAAGGGTTTTTGCAGTTTGTGTTGCAACGGAGCTCAAACTATTGAAGCCAAGTATTGTTGAAGTCTCCATTGTAGACTGGTGCCCTGAAAACATTTAGAAGGTGAGTTCTGACTTGTCATATGTTTAATGGTAAAGCCTTGAAGTTCTCACTGGGATCATTTTTTTCCTCTAAATACTGCACAGTAGCAAGCACTGTCACTGTTCCAACAACACTGCAATCTAAGGTTCTTCATTCTACATACTACAAACTTTGCAACTGAAGTGGAATGTCACAACATGTAACAAAAAATACACAAGATAACACTAAACTAAGAAAATGCACGATTGCTACAGGCTTGATCTAAACCCCTTGTAGCTCCTTCTTTCCACTTCAGCTTGCCAACGTGAAAGCTCTTTGGGAAGAATGAGGAGGGAGCAATGCCTGCTTTGGCTTGTTTATATCTTCCTGCTATGTTTGTGTAAAATATGAATCAAACAAATACTAGTGATCTCAGTCTGCCTGAGCATGCTGGGTACAGATGAACTGAAGAAAGGCTGCTAGTGTTCATCATGAAACTCAGACATGTTCCAGATTGGAACAGTGGGGTTGAAATAAGAAAAAAAAATTAGACATCCTTAACACTGTAGTGATTATGGGCCTGTCAGCAATTGCCAGTTGACAACTTTCAGAATAAACACTGAGATATATTTATGACCGTAAAAATGAGTGAAGCATAAGGGGGCATCAATCATTTACAGGACAATTCTTTTGTAGTTACAAAAAAAAAAAAAAAAAAAAAAAAAATCTGTAAGCATTAGAGAAGATTTGGAAGAACTTCTGTTGTATTTGACACTATACAAGGATGTTGGCAGCATTATTAAAATAATCACTAATTTTCTTATTGGTTACTGTTTCAAAAGAGAAGGGAAAGTGAACCCAAGAAATAGATTACTTGAGACCCCAAATTACAAGGAAGTCTTCATCATCAGAGTATTATGAGTATCTATATATGACAATCTACATGGTCACTTGACCTGGGGAACTAAGCCTGTTATTAATCATAGTAATGCAAAAAAACTTAGAATATTTACGATGTGTAGTAGACCATTCAGACTCTTGTCTACTTTGAGAGCATCATTTTCTATTCCCTAACGTCATCCTAGAGAAAACAATGTTGCTCTGTTCTAAGAATGTAATGGGAAGTGAATTCTGTCTGTGACATTCGCCTGTAATTATCTTTCCATTGTTATTTAGCAGCAAATTCTTCCTCTTTCTGCAGTGGCTTTTAATAAAGCTATTCTCTTTCCACTCTACCTGTAGCTTTCTAAAATATAACTGTTATAACACAGCACTGAAAAGTGGCATGCACTAAGCAACTGAATAATGACACGTTATGAAAAAAGACAGTAAGAACCTGGTAAACCAGATTTTCAGCCATATCAGAAATAGATCACTTTAATGAACATGCATGCTCCTCTGTTTGGGTTTGAGGTTTTTTCTGTCATTTCACTGCAAATTTGCACTCTAAAATCTTTAGAATAGTTGTGATAAGGGAAGTTGAAATATATTGTATTTAAACAATAATACATTACAATATTGTGGCTAAAATACCCCTCTAATTGGATTTAAACATGCATTATTTAGCTTTCATATCATATTGTGTGGTAACCTTTTACTGAATTTGCTGAAAACTCATTATTCAGATGTTTATTCTTTGTTACATATTCAAAATCAATTTTCAATTTCCTAAATATTAACTACAACACACCAACATTGGACAGCTTAATCACACTATGTTTTATATTACTTACAACTAAAATTTTCAAACAAAGCTGATTGTATTTGCACGTATTTTCTTTTTACTAACCATTTTACTAACTAGCTAGGGGTTCTTCACACTTCTGACAGGTACAGTGCAATTACAGTATTTGAAATGGAATTCTGCAAATGAGCAAAAGTATATACATGCATACAGCTGTGCTGTATTTTCTTCACAGCAGCTCGTTTGGGGCTGTTTTGGATTTGTGCTGAAAACAGTGTTGATATCACAGAGATGTTTTTGTTACTGCTGAGCAGTGCTTACACAGCTGAGGCCTTTCCTACTGCTCACACCACCCCACCAGTGGGTAGGCTGGGGGTGCACAAGAAGTGCTGTGCAACATCTTTGTCAGCAACATGGAT